GGCTGTGGTGAGGGACAACTAAGGCAATGGGCTTTTGAAAAGCCACATGGGAGTTTTCTACTGTAGAAGCTTCCTAAAATATATCCTTTATGGGGGTGGTTGTTAGTTTATTTGTGTGTGTGTGTGTGTGTGTGTGTGTGTGTGTGTGTGTGTTTGAGAGAGAAAGAGATAGAGAGGGGGTGAACATGAATCTATGTGGGAAGAGAAGTGAGGAGGATCTGGGAGGAGTCAGGGAAGGGGAAAGAATCTGATTGCAATGTATTGCTGGAAAAAAATTAATAAGAATGAGGAAATTTTAAAAATGAATGAAATAATATTGTTTCTGGGAAAATAGATGCAAGTTGGGATCAACATATTAAGCAAACTGAGACTCAGAAAAATGAAGATTGTATTTTCTTTTATTTATGTAACCTCTATTTTTTTATAAAATATAAAGCATTTTATATGACATATATATGACATGAAAGCAGAAAAAGAAAGCAGGGAAGAGATTATCAGGAGGAAGAATGAAGAAACTGAAAAAAAGGAAAAGTTTGGATAGTGGATATGGTAATGTCTTAATACTTAAACTGTCTGCATGACACCTAACAATATGTGCAATAGATATTGACCAATGAAAAATAAAAAATTCAAGAATTGAAGATTAAAGAAAAATATATAGACATCCTCCTGGAAATTGGAAGCAAACAAGATCGCCGGGCAAAAGTTGGGAGCATGGGGGTGGGGGTGAAGGTGGTGGTGGGGGAAAGGGAGAGGGGGAGAGAGAAGGGAAAGACTGGGGAGAGCTTGGGGGAGTGGGAGGGTGGAGATGGAGGAAGGGTGGATATAGGAGCAGGGAAGAAGATATCTACAGTAAGGGAGCCATTTTAGGGTAGGCAAGAGACTTGGCTCTAGAGGGGATCCCAAGTGTCCACAGGGATGTCCCCAGCTAGGTCCTTAGGCAGCAGACGAGAGGGTGCCTGAACTGTCCTTGCCCCACTATCACACTGATGATTATCTCGGATGTCACCATAGAATCTTCATCCAGCGACAGATGGAGATAGAGACAGAGACCCTGATCAGAGAGCAACAGACTGAACTCCCAAGGTCCAGTTGAAGAGCAGAAGGAGGGAGAAGATGAGCAAGAAAGTCAGGACCATGAGGGGTTGGTCTATCCACTGAGGCAGTGTGCCTGTTCTAATGGTAGCTCACCAAATCCAGCTGGACTGGAACTGAATGAGCATGTGATCAAACCAGACTCTATGAATGTGGCTAACAATGGGGGCAAAATGAGAAGTCAATGATAATGGTACTGGGATTTGTCTCTACTGCATGTACTGGCTTTTTGGGACCCTAGTCTATTTGGGTGCAAAGCTTTCTAGGCCTGGATGTAGGGAAGAGGGCCTTGGACTTTCTACAGAGGAGAGTTCCCTGCCCTCTCTTAAGGAGGGAGGGGAAGAGAGGAGGATGAATGGGGGAGTGGGAGGGAATGGAAGGAGGGGAGGAAGTGTAAATTTTGAATGGAAAAATTAAAAAAGATGACTTTTGTAATAATTGATTGCTTCTATACTACTGGGTAAAATCTAAGTGTCTTTTCTATACTAAGAAAGTGATCTGCCCTATTCATCTGTAGTGTATTCAAAAATCACTCCTGTAATTGGTTTAAAGAAAATAAGAAAATTTAAAAAAAGAAAAATTGAAGATATAAATAAATATAAAAGACCAAATAGCACAAATAGAATGTGATTCTTAATCTTGTCATCTTGAATCTATAATCATCCAGGAATGGTGGCATGCCTGTGTGGGGTATGTTAATTATGTTCATTGAGATAGGAAGCTCTGCCCATAATAGGTGGTGTAGTTTCCTGTTTGGAGACTCCTAGACTGAATAAAATAGAGGAAGCAAGCTGAGAGCTAAGAGAGCATTTATCATGGGATGGTTGTGGCCACAGTGTGACTAGCTACTTCAAGCTCCTAATTGACGTCTTTGAAGCCCAGCTGTGAGTTACCTGACATAGTGGGCTGTATCCTTGAATTGTGAACCCTAAAGTTTTCCCACGTAAGTTGCTTTAGGAAACGATTTCTAGCACAGCAACAGAAAAAGAAATTAAGACACAAATTGGTAAAGAAGTGGGGCTGTTGCTTTGAAGAACCTAAGTGATCCTTTGGCCTCCCTCTGCTTACCTGTTTTGGGCTGAAATGTGCAGGAGTTTGGTACTCTGGACTAGAAAATCTTTAACAAGCTGGAAGGAGACTGTAATGGGCAATTCCGGTAGAAGCTCAAAGACAAGAACTCTGAGAGACATGTAGACACTAGTGGCCAACACACGAGGGTTTAAAAGGAACACTATCGTGATATTTTGCTCAAGAATCTGTCTCCATTCTATCCATCTTCTGAGAGACTGAATAAAGATCCATTTAAAGATAATGGGCTGCTTGTTTTGCAGAAGAAATTTCAAGACAGGCAAGCATAGGCTGGGGAGATGGCTCAGTGTTTAAGAGTACTGGCTGCTCTTCCAGGGCATCTGAATTTAATTCCCAGCCATCACATGGTTGCTCACAACCTCTGCAACTTCAATCCCAGGGGATCCAATGCTCATTTCTGGTCTTCTGGGACACCAAGCACACAAGTAATATACATCAAACATGCAGGTAAAATACTCACACACATAAATAAGATAAATTTAAAAACAGGTGAGTATTCAGGCTAGTTCTGAGGAAGCAATTGGAACTGTTACAGAGATCAGGACTACTGAAGGGAAAGCTGTGTTTCCCTGGGGCCATAGGGAAGGTATTCTGAGGGCAAAGCACAGGTCCTTGGAGCTTCCATTGTGTGATGATCCTAGTCCATTTAAAGAGAGAACGTCTAAGCAAAAGACCTTATTTTCTTTAAAAGGGAACTGCCCAAGAGTGTTTTCCCTAGAAGTATATAACTTATGTTTTATTTTGTGTGTTCACAATTAAGAGTTTTAAGTATTTGAAACTGTTTGGGGATGGTCACCCCACACATCACAACTCCTCCTCCCAAGGTTCAGGGAATACTGCATAAGAAGGTGACAGAAAGCTTATTAAGATCCAGAAGTCAGGAAAGACTGTCACAAAGCAATGTCTTTTACACATGACAGGAAATGGCATTCAATTTTCCACAGCCATAATTGCATACACAATACACAAGTCTTGCATACAAACTGTCTCGTCACTATTCCAGCATAGTTGGTGGAGAAGCTCACTACAGTTGGTTGATAAGCTCCAGAGAGTTGAGAACTGCCAGGGGACAGAAAGTCAGTTTTCTTCAGAGATAGGATTCCTGGTAGGTTATCCACATACAGTGGACAGTCCTACAGTCATGGAAATATGGACAACAAGTTGATCTCAGACCAACAACCATGTGCATATGAACAGCAATTTGAACTCAGTAGATTATATAAGAACAAATGAAGCCGGGAGAGGATGTGGGAAGACAGACCAGATAGTTGGTGGGAGTCAGTGAGTATAGAAACAAAATATATTCATGCACGAAAAAAACCAATAAAGATAATTCATGCAAAGACTTTGTTGGAAATATTTATGAGGACTTTTAAAGTTGGACTAAATGCATTTTTTCTTTTCTCTTCTTTTTTATTGAGCTCTACATTTTTTTTCTGCTCCTCTCCCTGCCTCTCCCCTCCCCACTTCAATCCTCCCTCAAGGTCTCCATGCTCCCAATTTACTCAGGAGATATTGTCCTTTTCTATTTCCCATATAGAGTAGATCTATGTAAGTCTTTCTTAGTGTCCTCATTGTTGTCTAGGTTCTCTGGGATTGTGGTTTGTAGGCTGGTTTTCTTTGCTTTCTGTTTAACCATGTGAGTGAGTACATGAATGCATTTTATACCACGACATGGTGGTGAGCCTATGAGGACGAAGCGTTTGAAGGTTGTGGCTGAAAAGTGGTGTGATTGGGTGTCATGTGGACAAGGGGCAGAGCTGTGACAGCTCGAGCTGTCAGCTTGGCAATGGAGAAAGCTGAGGACTTGGGCAGCACTCATCTCTTTTTATTATTGTGGATATTATGTGACGAGCTGCGGCAAAGTCCTGCAGTGATGGAGCATCCCCTTGAAGCATGAGATAAAATAAACCCTCTCCCTTGAGCTGTTCTCATAAGGGGGTTTTATCACAGCAATGGGGAAAGAGAGTAAAGCAGGGAAAGTGACATAACTCTTTCTTGATAGCCAGAAGACTGAAATCATGAAGATCCATGTTCCATTTCCTGGCTGGTTTATCCCATTCAAAATTTGCATTCTTGGCTACTGACAGTGACATAAATATGTACATATATGTATGTAAACATAGATACTTCAATGTAAACACACTGAATATATAATTAACTTGTTTACATAGCAGCTGGCATGTTCGATTGTAAGATAAATATCCATTTTGTGCATAAATAGTTAAAGATAATCAGAAGTAAAAGTTATTCAAATCATGTAAAATGATCTGAAATCCAATCTTAAAGTACCAACTTATTACATGTTACACTATCTGGAAAAAACCTGACACTATTTGGTTATTTGAAAGCATACATCAATAGTGAATAATCTCAATTATTTTTTTAACCAATGACTTATATCTTAAACACATATGAATAAGCTACGATTCACAAGAGTTTCAGAAATTGAGAGTTTTTTTTATTCTGTCACAAGCTTGGCTGTCGTCAAATCTACTCAACAAGTTGATTTAGCTGATTTTCCTTGCAAATACGTCTCTTATTGCCATTAGAAGCTTTACCGTTGATGGTAAATAAAAATCAAAAGACCAGTTTCTTCTGATTTGCTTTGACAAATTCTTTGTTGGATGTGGGATTTTTCTTCAGAAATGCATTAAAATAAAGTGAAGATGGAATTGAGTCATTTGTGGTGGTGCTAGACTCCTAAGAATTTTCATTTTGTTGTCGGTCATCTTAACTCATTCATAACACAGCCTTCAAGTTAATGAATCGTTCAATGTTTGGAAGCTACTCATATGGTCTAATAATTGACAAGATCACACGTGTTCCTTGTTTCCTAATGATAGAAACAGGAAATTGAAGAATATATATAAAGGAAAGCTTAAAACTATGCCATCTAACTTCATTACAATTTGTTCCTCGTTTTGTTCGAAGGTAACAATTTTTTGACCAGTTGTTTTACTGAATGTTACTTTCCCGTTGGAATCAAAACACACCAAAGTTATTTTGAACACTACGTTTCGTATATGTTTTAAACAACAACCATCACGCCACTGAGGACTTTGCCTGAAAATGATGCTATGGTTGGTAAAGGTGATGCTTATAGGGAAACTAAACCTAAAAGCTGACCACTTCCAGGAGTAATCACCATCTCTGCTAATCACTGTACCACATCTCATGCCGCAGTCTTCGAGTTCTTCACTGATGATTCGTGGCCCTATTTCCCTGTGTTCTTGTTCTTGAAGCAAAGCCAGCCATTGCTGTTTATAAATGGGTGCCAACCATTCTAAAGGTATTAGACGATCTCGTTCAAGAGTAGCTGTGTCACTCAGATCACAGATGATATGTTGAAACCTCAGTTTTTTAAAAACCGGTTGAAATATGAGTCCTTCTTCACTTTCAAGAAAACTGATGTCATCAATGCATTCCACGTGCTTGGAAAGCCAGCTGTTGGCATTAGTTAAAATCTGCTTCTCTGGGCCTTTCCAGGAAGGATTAAGACAAAGGAACATCCACTCTTTCAGGGTGGTGTAGATGTCCATTTCCTTTCACATAACTAGTAAATCAGCTGAAGAAATAAGGAGATACATGAGCTTTATATCAATTTCCTTGTAAAGTTCAACATTTGGGTGGGTCATCAAGTTGCAGAGAAGCCAGTCAAAGCAGCGTGTCTTTACAGATTTCAGTCCATAAGTTTCTGCTGCTGTGTAGTATGAGCACACGGTTTCCCTAGTGATGCTGTTGTTCATGGTCTCATTACATTGCCGGATGATGTGCTCCACCTGAAGCAGGCATGCTGCAGCCAAAACGTGAAGAACTCGACGGGGTATTATTGGCAAGTCCTCCTCCCTGTACAATGACCCAAACACAAAGTGCAAGGAGCTGACATCTATATCCTCGTTCTTAATCTCCAGGTCGACAACATGACTGTGGGATTCTTTCCAAGTATTTTTTAGCATCTTAGCGAAGAAGCCTGACTGACATAAAAATACTTTGTGTAGAGACCATATTCTTCCAAGTGCATGGATTCTAACGTCGCTATCCTTCCCGTCCAAAAATAAAGTTTGGTAAGCATACTTAGATGATAGCTTCGGTTTTTTCCTGTAGACAATGCCAAAAACTTGCTGTAGGTTGACTGCCTGGTTCCGAGATCCGTGGATGTTAGGGGTTGATGCTACACAGTCCCAAATGCTCCATTTGTGCTTGCGACTGCCAGAGATATAACTGGGACCTGCGTTGTCTTCTGGCTGTGCTGGCTCAGCCAAGCTGGAATCACCGCATCTCAGGTTGCGGCTGTTTAAAAGCCCCATTGATGAAATCACCCAGCACCTCTCAAGAGACTCGCAGAAGTTTCTCTCCCATTATATTGCTGTATGTTTTGTGTCAGCCAGTACTGCCCAGGCTACCTGGATTCCTCTAGCTCAGCCTCAAACGTCACACAGAAGGCAGGCCATTCATTCATTCATCAATGTCTACTACTGCCCTTCTGGAGCAGTGGCCCCGCCCCCTGGCAACAGGCCCCTTTAAAACTATGAAGTGTGATCTAGCTTCTCCCCTTCTTCCCCTTACCTCCTTTTCCTTCCTCTTTCCTTCCCTCCTCCCCTCCCTTCCCTTCTACCTAATTTCCTTCTTTCTTTCCTTTCTTCTTTTCCTTTTCTCATTCTCCTTCTCCTTTCCTCTGCCCCCTCCTTTTCCTCCATGGTTTCTAAACAGATCACACTATGGTGCTGAAGATGACCTCACTCAATAGTCAAAACCACCTGCCTCAGTCTTGTAAGTCGAATCTTCTTTTCCATAAAGATAATGACCAGGTCAAAGCTATCATGATGTGTGTTAAAGATTGTACATATTCCAACTTCCACCCCTGGGGTGTGATAGATGATCACTCCCTGTGATTATTGAATGTAATATTTACCAACAACTCTTAGCAATCCAAATGGTAACCACTGTTATTGCTTATTTTATTAGTCATTTTTGATTATTCTAAAAGAAGAGTATAAAGTTTCATGTATATAATAGAATGCATATGCCCAAAATTTCTGTGTATTCTTTGCCTTGTCTATATAAATTTAAAAATATTTTGTTTACTTAAGGTTCCTTATAAATCCAGTTATCTTATTTTTGTGTATATGTGTGCATGTTTTATGTTTTTGTTTTACATATTTGCCTTTGCCTATTAAATGACTATGGAACTATTTTAAATAAACTGCAATTCTTTCAAAACCAGGTAAATTTTATTTATTTGTTTTTATGTCTCAGAGAAGAACTCTCCCTCAACTGAAATAAGACAAATAGGTCTCAATGTTTCCTTGCTGAATCTTAATAGTAACATTGAACTAATTTTTGATAACTAAATATTAACATTTTATCACTTAATAGGTTCTCATATTTTAAAATGACAGGGCATTTTACAAAAGAATGTATTTACTGTAAGCCAGTTTATTTTTTCAAACAGAAAAAGGTTTATCTATGTTCATGTGCACATAGAATAAATGCAGACATTAATACAATAAAATATTACCAGAGACAGACTGTCTTTGAAAGTTGGCAGTATGGGCCATCTCAGGCCCACATCCATACAGGATAGACTCTGTCATGATTTCATCCTTTTTTTCTTGCAGATTGTGTGAGTTGGGCTTTATTATCTAGTGCAGTGTTCATCATGACTTCTCAAAGCACAGCCATCTCATAGTGATAGGCATGTGCAGTGACAAGTAAATGCCCAAGTTATTTTTACACAATAGTTTTTGTCTATTTACTATCACAAAACGAGCAATGAATGTAATGTTTGTCAGATGTTATTTGTGGAGTCAGTAACTCACATTTCACCCCATTTTCATATATCAAACTATTATCTTTGTGTTATTTTTTGCTTGTTTTGCTATTGTTTACAATTAACAACTCAAAATTGTTTGTATATATGGACTGAAATGTGGATACAATACAGAATGATTAAATGAAGTCAATTTAACACATTGATCACCTTAACATTTTTGTGATAATATACTCAAAACATATACTGTCCTTTACTTGAAAGAAATACAGTGTACTTTATTGACGTTTCCTTGCACAAGCACAAGGATAACTATACAGGATAAAACTTTATACCCTGCTTCCTAGATGTCGATAAGAATAAAGGATTGATAATTTAAAATAGCATAGAAAGCCTAATTTGTTTAGTCTGCATGTGTGTAAATAGAGATTGTTCATTTGTTTCCTGCAGCCCAGACCTGAATACGCACACAGAAACTATATTAATTACAACAATGTTTGGCCAATGGATCATGCATATTTCTAGCTAACTCTTGTATCTTAAATTAAACCATTTCTGTTAATCTATGTATCACCACGAGCCTGGGGACTACCAGTAAGGTTCTGTCAGGCATCCTTCTACTTCAGCAGCTACATGGCATCTTCCTGACTCTACCCCCCCTTCAGGTTTCCTGCCTGACTTTGCTCTGCTAAACCATTGGCCCAAACAACTTTATTCATCAACCAATGAAAGCAACGCATAGGAGGACCAAGAGGTGAGTGATTACTCACCCAGTTGGGCACCCCACTTTCTAGTCCCTCCATAGGAGGGCAAAACCCAGGAAGCCTTCCCCACCTGTCATCTTCTCTAGCCAGCCAGCAGGCAAGCTTCCTGCAGATAAGCTGCTCCAATATCCCATCCTATTGATCAGACCCTGTAAGCTACAAGTCACACTTTGCCCCCAAACCCTCCTATCCCCTGCAACTGCAGAGGAATTCTGAAACACAGGCTGTAACTACACAGAGAGGACCAAGAAGTTAGTGACCACCCACCAACTCGGTGGGGCACCCCACTCTCTATGTCCTCCATACCAGATCAAAACCCAGGGTCCCTTCCCCACTTGCATCTTCTCTAGCCAGCCAGCAGGAAGGCGTCCTGCAGGTAGGCTACTCCAACACACTCATCCCATCAATTGGACCCTGCAAGCTTCAAGTTACACTCTGTCCCCAAACTCCCATGTCCCTTGCCTGACCTCAAAAGAATGCTGAATCACAGGCTGCAAGTACACAGAGACAACTTGGAGGAAAGTGATCATGCACCCAGCAAGGCACTCCACTCTGTAAGCCCTCCATACCAGGGCAAAATCCAGGGCCCCTCCCCCACCTGCATCAGTTTCTCTAGCCAGTCAGCAGGCAAGCTTCCTGCAGGTAGGCTGCTCCAATACCCCATCCCATCTATCGGACTCTCCAAGCTACATACAAGTCACATTCTGCTCCCAAACTCTCCTATCCCCCACTACCTCAGAGGAACTCTGAAGCACAGGTTGTGACTGCACAGAGAGGACCAAGAGAACAGAACAAAAGAAGTGGACCAAGAGAGCTAGCTGGTCAAGAGAGACCTCAGCAGCTCCCTGAGACAAAGACAACAATAGCACAGGGCAGACCAAGAACAGTTCCCAAAGACACATACAGCAACTTCAAGGATTGGACCAAGAGACAAAGACACTGCCAGCATCAATTGAAAGAAGAGACTGGTAGGTACCAATGCAAGAATTCATTCAACAACATAAAAAGCAATGTGGTAACAACAGAACCCAGTAGTCATACAACAGGAAGACTTTGTTATGGTTTTTGTCTAAGAGACAAGCCACGCCCACTCCCGGTGACCCCCTGCCCTCCTCTCGCCATCTTAGCTTCTCACTACCATCTTAGCTTCTCACCATTCCTTTTGGCGCAGACGCTTCCCTCGCTTCTGCTCCCTTCTCTGTCTCTCTCCTTTCTCTTATCCTTCTTTCCCCACTCTTTCTCTCCTCTAAGTAATAAATATCCAATTCTATTCTGTACGATGTGTCTGCCCATGTGCCTTTAACCCGCCACCTGCTCACACCCCCAGGCTCACTGGGACCAGCCCACCGGGACCAGTCCAGAGCTGCATGGCTGGGCCCATCTGTGACTGTCCCGGTCAGGGAGCCACTGCTCGGGAGCCATCTCTGCCTGGGACTAGCTGCCCTGTGGGTCCGCTGCCTGCCTACTGCCACCAGGGATCTTGCAGCATTTTTAACAGACTTGATCATCCTAACCCAGAAGAAGCAGAAGTAAATGATTTTAAATGTAGCTTCATGAGGATGATGGAGACCATTAAAGAGGAAGTGAAAAATTCTTTTAAAGAAATGGGGGAAAAGACAAACCAAAAATTGGAAGAAATCAATAAATCACTTAAAGAAACTCAAGAAAAAGCAATCAAAGAGGTGAAGAAAACAGTTCAAAATGTGCAAGACTTAAAGACTGAAATAGGGGCAATAAAGAATTCACAAACTGAGGGAATTCTGGAAATGGAAAATCTGGGTAAATGAATGAGATCTACAGAGGCAAGCGTAACCGAAAGAATACAAGAGATGGAAAAGAGAATCTCAAGCACTGAAGATACTATAGAGAAAATAGATTCATTAGTCAAAGAAAACATTAAATCCAACAAATTCTTAGCACAAAACATCCATAAAATCTGGGACATCATGAAAAAAACCCAAAGAATAATAAGGATAGAAGAAGGAGAAGAACTCCAGCTCAAAGGTACAGAAAATATACTCAACAAAATCATAGAAGAAAACTTTTCCAACCTAAATAAGGATATTCTATGGAGGTACAAGAAGCTTACAGAACACCAAATAGACTGGAAAAAAGTCCCCTCACCATATAATAATCAAAATGTGAAACATACAGAATAAAGAAAGAATATTAAGAGCTGCAAAGGAAAAAGGCCAAGTTACATATAAAGGCAGACCTATCAGAATTACACCTGACTTCCCATTCGAAACCATGAAAACCAGAAGGGCCTGAACAGATGTGCTACAGACACTAAGAGACCATGGATGCAAGCCCAGACTACTATATCCAGCAAGGGTTTCTTTCACTATTGATGGAGAAAACAAGATATTCCAGGGCAAAAAGAGATTTAAACAATATGTAGCCACAAACCCAGCCTTACAGAAAGTACTAGAAGGAAAACTTCAACCCAAGGAAGCCTCAAATGAACTTAACAGAAATCTACAGAACATTTTACCCAAACACACAAAAAACTACCTTCTAATCACATACTCTGTAACAAAGAAAACCTCAACAAATACAAAAAAAAAAAGGAATAACCCCTTGTATCTATTTTGATCACCATGGAATTTAACAGCAACACTAATTGTAGAAACCTACAAACTCATGGAAATAGAACAGTGCTGAATTGAACCACCCCTGAGTCAAGGAATAAATAAAGACAGAAATCAAAGACTTCCTAAAATTCAATGAAAATGAAGGCGCAATATACCCAAACATATGGGACACTAAGGAA